TATGCCCACCCACTTCCCCCAAACCCAATAGGACCCCATGAGAATTTGGGGGAAAGGCTTACATGTCAGAGCTACTCTTTCAGGCTGTCTGCAGATGCAGGAAGACAACACTGCATCCATCAATTAACTCAAGGGTCAGCAACCTTTCAGAAGTGATGTGCCAAGTCTTCATTTATTCCCTCTAATTTAAGGTTTCGCGTGCCAGTCATACATTTTAATGTTTTTAGAAGGTCTTTCTATAAGTCTATAAAATATAAACTATTGTATGTAAAGTAAATAAGGTTTTTAAAATGTTTAAGAAGCTTCATTTAAAATTAAATTAAAATTCAGAGCCGCCCCGGAGCGGTGGCCAGGATCTGGGCAGTGTGAGTGCCACTGAAAATCAGCTCGCGTGCCGCAGGCTGCCTACCCCTGAATTAACCTTTCAAATGTGAACCAAGTATAACTACACAACCATGAGATTCCCCAGAGACTTTTTTTTTTTAAATGAAAGCTTATTTCTTCAATAGCTGACTCTGCCATGTGTGTCCCACCAACAGGTAGAGCAGCCTATGCCTTTGAAATCACTGTTTTGGTTAATTTCAGTTGCTCCTAAAGTGTCTAAATAAAATATTCACTTTGGGTGATTCTCTTGTGATTTGTAGAGGAAACCAGTTGTAGAGCTATAATTAACCCAGGGGGACTGGATAGGGTACTGCAGCAGAGGGGCTCGGTACCAGGAGTGGGTGTCTGCTCACACACACAAGGCCAGCACGCCCATTTTGAGCTACTTGTATTAACATAAGTGTCTTGTAGCATGGGATTGTGCCTGCCTCCCAGTTTCTCCCATGGTTGAACTGGTGCTTTCAGTGGGTGTTGGAATTCCCTCATTTCCAGAGTTCCCCACAGCACAACAGGAGCCAGGCTACCACCTTGTAATCAACAGTGCTGTGTACATCTCAAATAGTAGTCAAGAAAACAGCAGTAATTTCACTCACAAAGCCCTAGATGAGGCCTGTTTTCAGCTGCTTACATCACGGATGGGAAAAATGCCATCAGTCCTATCTCTCTCTCAGCCTGCGGCTAGCAGATACATTCTAGTACTCTAGTCTGAGATTTTAGTGCCCCAGTTGACTATCTCCTACTTTTTCCGGTGGGAGACTGCATCTGAGGCTGATCCAGCTCAGACCCCTGGTGTTCTCA